GGCAGGGCCCAGTGTGTACAGCCAGGCATGGAGTTTCAATACAAGTTTGCTTTTTTTTTTTTTTTCCTGTGGATGGGAAATTTTCTCCATGCCTGGCTATGTCATTATTTTTATTTAAGCTTTTTATTTTAAAATAATTGTAGATTCACATTCAGTTATAAGAAATAATACAGATCACCAAAATAAAAAATAATAATACAGAGAAATTCCATGTACCGTTTATCCAATTTCCCCCACTGGTAACATCTTGTAAAACTATAATAAGATATCAAAACCAGGATATTGGCATTGATAGAATAAAGATATAGAACATATCCATCACCACAAGGATTTCTCATGTTGCCCTTGTACACCCACACCCACCTCTGCCCCATCCCAAGCACTGACCCTGGTCAACTAATCTGTTCTCCATTTCTGTAAGTTTATCGTTTTGAGAATGTTATGTGTATGTAATAATATAGTATGTGACTTTTGTAGACTGGCTTTTTTTTGCTCTGTATTATTTCCTGGAGATTTACCCAAGTTGTTGCATGTATCCATAGTTTGTTCTGAGTGGTTTTCCTTAGTATGGAGGTACGACAGTTTATTTTTTATTGCTGAGTGGTATTTCATGGTATGGATGTACTACAGTTTGTTCAACCAGTCTTCCACTGAAGGACGTTTGCGTTATTTCCAGCTTTTGGTCATTATGAATAAATCTGCTAATAAAATCTGTTGTGTAGATTTCTTTGCAAACATACATTTTATTTCTCTGGGATAAATACTCAAGAGTGAAATTGCTGGGTCTTATTTTAATTGTAATGATTGTGAGGATGGCACAGCATTGGGCAATATTTCTTTTTTCCCATACAAAAATTTATACATACATTGTTATGTGACTCTAATTACTCCCCTATACTGTGACAGCATACTCCTCCTTTCCACCCCGATTCCCCATGTCCATTCAACCAGCTCCTAACCCTCTCTGCCTTCCCATCTCACTTCCCAACAGAAGCTGCCCATTTACTCTCTTGTATCTACTTGAGCCAAGAGGCACACTCTTCACGAGTATCACTTTATGTCCCACAGTCTAGTCCAATCCCTGTCTAAAGAGTTGGCCTCAGAAATTGTTTTAGTTCTGGGGTGATGGAGAGACCAGAGGCCATGCTTTCCAGGGCGCCTCCAGTCTTAGTCAGACCATTAAGTCTGGTCTTCTTACTAGTATTTGAGTTCTGCATTCCATCGTTCTACTGCTCCATCAGGGACCCTCTGTTGTGTTCCATCAGGACGTTCATTGGTGGTAGCCGGGCACCATCTAGTTCTTCTGGTCTCAGGCTGATGAA